ACTAATTGTTGATACCTTCCTGGTAGTATCCTTCATGATACCACCACGTCTTATTTCAGAATTTTGTTTGTTATTCAGACTCTCTAGATTTCTGTACACCGACAGCTAGCCGGTATGACTACGTTTTTTCTAAGGACGGGAAGAATGTAGAAAAACTAGCTAAAAGAGGTTTTCCCAGATATGCTAACTTGAGGCAGGTAAAAAATCATATCCAGACGATGACTTACTTCGTAGCAGTCGAGGTACATCAAGGAGATGATGACCATCAAGGACTCTGTAATATAGTCATCTGACAAATTAATGATAGGAAATCACTGTCCCGGGCTTCAGATTCACACTCAACTTGATTTGACTGTACAACAGTGTAGGAAATTGTCACAGAAAAAAATACAAAACTATAAAATAGCAAAAATACAGATCAACAAACAAGTGACATAAGGAAAGATGCATAAAAGGAACAGTCATAGTGAAAAGAGCCGATAGTTATGAACATGTTTTAATTTGACCTGAATAAATAATTCGTCAAGGGTGAGAAACCGAAAAAGCTTTAAGGCGTCTCCCGAAAAGTTGTATTGTCATGTTATCTCTACCTGAAGCTGGTAGGTGATTATAAACTTATTCCCATGTAGTTTGGTGCATTAAAACTGACATTTAACCTTACTAGAGGGATATGCATATTATTTTTATACCTTGTATTCCTAAGATGAATATCATAGTTATTTTTGAATTCTATTATGTTTTTATACATGTGAATACTGATTTCATAAATTAAGAGACAGACAAGAGTAAGAATGTTGAGGTTCTTAGACACCATCCTACATGGTGTTATGTTTGAGATACCAGCATTAACCTTAATAATATTGTTTTATGGGATAAAAGCTGCATCTGCATGTTCCCAAAATACAGATTCCATACCTTAGTCTGCCATCAATCAAGGCTAATGATTTCGCTGCAAATTACGAAATATATATATGTCCGCAAAGTTGGGATTTTCCTTTACACGACGTGTAGATCTTGAAAACATAAGCAATTTTTTTTAGTACCATATGCACCAATGTTTTAAGGGAACCGAGATAAAGGGCTCTGCAACATCAAAAATATCTGAATACTGTCCTGTAGCCGCGACATCCCCGAGTGGTACTAGGACACTATACTACAACTATTTAAAACTGTAATGACTCATACGCGTGATCAACACGTGATCAGAGCTCGATCCCGGCTTCCTTCCAGTACAGCCGTATAGCGTACGACATATGTCGTTTCTGTGGCTTTGCGGTGGTCAACAGCACAGACAGAGATGGAAATAATGGCTGATTGTTCTCCGCCGGTAGAACCAATGAAATCAAAGACGCGCCTCGACCGGCAGACTCATAGGCGTCAGGAACGCATTGGAACGTGTTTCGTTGAGCGATCGCGTATTGTGTATTTTTATAAGAATTGTTGTGTGATTGTTATTGTTGTGGTTTCTGTTGTTACTGTTTTGGTTATACTTAACCATGGAGAGTACAAATGGCACGAGTGGAAGTACTGAGAGCCAGGGAACAAGTAGACGGCTTCGTAAAGCGCTGAAGAGGGACGCGAAAGAAATCGTGCTCAACGTGTTCAATTATCTGAACACAACTATCTCGCAGGGAGATGCACTCGCGCGTTGTGAAAGTATGACAGGCGTTCCGGAGTGGACCATTGGCAGGGTGGTGCATGAAAAGAAGAAAACTGGAGCTACTACTGACCCAAAGTTTAATTTGAAGGGACGAAAGGCCGTTAAATTGGATGACGATAACAAAATGGCGTTAAGGCGAACCGTACATTCATTCTTCTTTAGGAATGAAATACCAACCCTCAAGGCTGTACATGCAGCGATCAAGGAAAATGAAATTATACCCCAAATAAGCGTCGAGGTAATGAGGAAATCCCTGCACGAAATTAATTTTCGTTACGAAACGCGTAATCGGAAGTCAGTATTGATAGAGAGACCTGAAATAGTCGCCTGGCGTCGAAAATACCTACGCGAAATGATTGAATATAGGCGACAAAGCAGAAAAATCTATTATTTGGACGAGACATGGGTAAATGCAGGTCACACAGTTAAAAAACCTGGATAGACAAAAACGTAGTGAGTAACCGACAAGCAAGCATTGAAGGTTTGTCAACAGGTCTTCGTGGACCATCAGGGAAAGGTCAAAGATTGATCGTAACTGATATTGGTAGCGATAGTGGCTTTTTAGAAGAGTGTGACTTGATTTTCGTCTCTAAGAAAGGAGGTGATTACCATGACGAAATGAATGCCAGCTGCTTCGAGAGCTGGTTTCAAGGGGTGCTTCAGCGAGTTGAGCCCAACTCTGTGATCGTCATGGATAATGCTTCCTACCATAGTCGTCGAGCCGACCGTGTACCGCGAAAAAGGAATCCCGTTTGACGATTCATGTGTGAAAGCGGAATTGTATGAAAAAATTAAACAACACAAACCTGCGAACATTAGTTACGTGACTGATGAGATGGCCCGTCAATGTGGTGTCACTGTGCTGCGGTTACCGCCCTACCACTGTGAACTGAACCCAATAGAGCTCATCTGGGCTCAAGTGAAGGGTTATATTGCGCGCCATAACACAACCTTCAAATTACCAGACGTTAAGGTTTTACTTGAGACTTCCATACAGCTAGTAACGCCCGAAGCTTGGCAGAATGCTATCCGTTATGTTGTGAAGGAAGAAACAAAAATGTGGCAGCTTGACCACCACATCGACACCATCATAGAGCCAGTTATAGTCAATTTCAACGAGGAAAGCGATAGCGACTGTTTATTACTGTCAGATGTAAGTGGAAGCGACGATGAATAAAGGTAATTCCCAAATTTTTGACTTACAATATGTTTCAAACCACTCTTTATTAAGCATGTGACAAATCTATTTCACCCATGTTAAACATTCATACCCCGCCTATGAACAGCCGACTACTGGTAGTTAAGTGATGTTCACGTGAACATCGATGAGTCATTACAGTTTTAGATAGTTATAGTATAGCTCAACCCGACGACAGAACTGGATCGGGGTCAGTGTGTCAGGTCAGTATGCAACCTTCAACCGACGGTTACGGTCACGCGTGTAGAGGTAATCGCGTAGACGAGAATCCCTCAACAAGCACTAGAGACGTGGCTACAGAAGTGCAAGTATCAAAAACTAAAGTGTGGCAAACGCTGCGTGAAGAGGTGCTGTATCCGTTTCACGTCCAACGTGTACAAGCCCTTCAACCTGACGATTTTCCAGCAAGAGTGCGGTTTTGTGAGTGGTTGTTGCATCAACATGACAATAATCCGGACTTTTTGAAGTGCATATTGGTGACAGACGAATCTACGTTCACGCGTAATGGGGTGAATAACTTTCGCAACACTCATGTTTGGTCAGTAGAAAATCCGCACGCTGTCCGTCGGGCAAATTTTCAACAAACATTTTCGGTGAATGTTTGGGCTGGCATGGTGAACGGTATGCTCATTGGACCATTTATTCTCCCAAATCGATTGGACGGGATGCAATACCTAGACTTTTTACGCAACATTTTGCCTTCCTTGTTTGCCTGCGTCTGCTCGGTAGCGCTTCAGCTGATTTCATTTTCTGTTGGAGCGGTATAATTTCGGGCAGAGACGTACTTAGCCCTTCTCGTCAACTATAGAGTGAGTACTTTTTCCTTTATTTTTTTTACTTGGTCGCCCTCGTTTCACTACACATTACCTTTGTTATTTCAAGGGTAGTTGTCTCTGAAAAGGAAAACTCCAACTTTGCGGACACCCTGTATATAGGGTGGACCATCAGTTGTTTTTCTTTAAGTTGGTATTATTTTGACAGATGGTATCACTTCCATGCTCAACATATCGACCGATATATTGTGTCAAACTTCGGCTGTGAGCAATGGATCGTTTTAATCTTGAATAAAGATGGGAAATATTGAAAAACAGTTTTCAAATATTACTTCCTATGGGTTTTTTTTATATCGAAGTAGCCGCGCAGGCAGGAGCCTAAATGCCGGAACACCGCGGCTGCTATAACTCACTATAAAAAACCGCTGATGCACTAACGAACCTCAAACAATTGACGTCCTTAAGAAAAATATCCGTCGAACAATTGATGAAATAGACCCACAAACTATCGAAAATGTGCTTCAAAATTGGGTTAAAAGGATGGACTACTGCCAGGCCAGCCGCGGCAGCAATTTAACTGAAATTGTTTTTCATATATAATTGGAAGGTGTATTCTTTTGAATTAAATATCGAGTGTTACCTATTATATTATTGAAGAGTGTAGTTTCAATACCAATTTAAAAAAGAAACCTTTTATAAGAGTTTAAGGTATTCTTAAGCTTATGGCACTGCGATTTCCATGTCCCAATGTACTCGTCAAAGAGAAGGCTTTATTTGCTGTTTTCATATTCTCATTACAATTAATTAAACGCTCGTTAAGGTGGTGTTCACGATTTTTGTATTAAATTATTTCAGTTATTCTTGGTTTAGATATAAGTGGCCTCTCGCATAACAGTGTGTTAACGAAATCAAAAATTGTGAGCAATTTTCCTGTCTGAGTTAGTCGATAATAATGAAGGAAAAGTCATTAGCGTAAGCCACGCAAAAGTCGTCAGAAAATTTGTATTTTATGTCGTTGACATAAATACAGAATGAACGGTATTGGAACCAAAACAGATCGCGGAGCAACGCCCATATTTACATTATGTTTTATGGATACAAATTGGCATCGGCTACCCAAAAATCTATTTACTGTCAGAAACCAGTTGTTGGAAATATCTTTTAGTAAAGATCACCTCCAAGAATGATAGTAAACCACCCTCCTTCTAGGAAACCATCTGTCGTCATACAGACCGGTCCTAACACCCCTTTCCCAATACGGAACCCGTGCTACGGCCCTGATAATCGATTTATAATTGCCGCAAATCGGCTGACCAACCCATTCGCAAGCCTTGACCTTGCCAACCGTGCATCGAACTGACCAGTCATACTTAGATCCAGACGATTGACCGCCAGACCGACAAATCAAAGCGAACCATCCCCGTCAGCAGTCATTCATATCACACGGTTTATCCACGATTCCGCTTCAACCAAGCAACATTAAACAACAAACCGTCCACGAGCGCCAAACCGAGCGCACCGTCTATTCTCTCGCTCTCTCGATGGCGCCGATAACGTCGCTGGTGCTACCGCTGGTGGTGGTGGTTTCCACCCTCGTCGCGAGTGTTTTCGCCGATTTGGACCTGTTGCTGCTACACAACAATGACATGCATGCGAGGTTCGAGGAGACTGAGAGGAATGGTTAGTGTCTTTTTTAATATTTCGTTTAATAATCATGTGTAAAATTAGAAATTTTCATTTCCTAGTCCGAAGCTCATGTTTTCGTTCTGCAGGAGCGGTGATTTTGTTTAAAATTGAGCTTAAGCTTTGCCCATATAAATTGCAGTTACTTTTAAAGCTTGCTTTTTTGGTTTCTCAAGTTTCTGTTCCTGGTTGTTTTGTATAAATTTTAGTTGCATTTGTACCTTGCAAGGCAAGGCTGCTCAATTTTCTTAAGAGTCGGACCAAACGGGGTTTCACATATTTTCAGCCAGCCACTGACTATTTCTATTTTAGTTACCCTTAGAACTTAATAGTAATCGTCTTTATTTATAATGATTACATTATAAAAGGGCGCAGCTTATCTCATGTAGTTATTTCTACACTTGACCCAAATATCAAATATAATACAGAAAAAAATTATGTGAATGCATTTTTATTATTATTATTATTTATACAGGAAGGGATTTTTCAAGTGATACGTAAACGTATTTAAAGACAGTGGCTTTAGGTTTTTCGGAATAGAGTGGTACAGAGGAACACCGTCTTGTGGTCTGGCATAGTGAATAAACGCGGATATTTGATGAAATTATATTTAAGTGAGGTACAAGTTTATTTTTCAAATATAACGGATTTTTATTAATTTCAACTCTGTGTACAAGAGTGAGTAAATGGTATCGGAAAATCCCAGCAACGTTTAACCAGCCCATGCTATCAATGCTCCTTGAAGAAATTATTTTGGACATTTTGTAGTAATATTGCTGTGGTTTGAACTAAATGTGGAAAACAAAGGGTAACACAATATAGTATTTTGGATATAACTAAGCTTTCTCTTAACGCTTTTTTGATAGATTAAGGCTTAGACCGCACTACGGTTTTTTCCCGCAAGCGGTAAACCACCAAAACACAAAACCGCCCGAGACGCACAGACTACGGTTAAAAATCGCGAAACTGGACACGATTTTTACAGTTTGAAGATGGATTTCAAGAGAGCTGTATGTGTTGTTGCTCTATGAAGCAGAAAAAGAAAACGTTATCAAAAATTTCGCAAATATTGGGTCAATTCACTGACTAGCCGAAGATTATATTATACGGAATTTTCTTTGAAAACAAAAGACGGTTTATTATTATTATTATTTAAGAAAGGTCTGTTTCATAAAAAATATCAAGATATAAGAAAACATCATGAGAAATTTTTCAACTACTATTGGAACAGAAACTTCTGTGCTCTAAGCACAATGGCATTTATATCAACGACATTCCATCCTAACACTTTTGACACTGTGTTGCTAGATGTACGATTACTGGGGAAAAGTAAATACGCAGAAAATTCTTGTCCTACCGTTCTTCAATTTTCAGTAGTGGGTAACCACCCGTCCCCGTTTTTCTATCGTCACACGATCACAAGAACATTCGCTCCCAGAAGTCCCCTCTCCTCAAAATATCTCACTGGATCCTCCTCCTGTGAATGAACTTATATTTTTTTTCAGACTACACTAGCAACCCCCATTTTCAATGGAATTTAAGTATCTTTGATTTGCATTAAAATTCGGACAGAGAATGGTGCTCATCAATAGTTTGTTTAGGCCTTTCTATTGAGAGGGGGATCATACAACTTGTTACATTCCTTCTGGGGTTAATTAACCAAGTATGACATTGAAAAAGGAAAAGGACAGCCTCCAGAGCAAGGAAGTCCCTCTAAGACATAGTTTCTTTCACCAGAAGGAAGAAATCTGAGGTGTTTGGACCTGTATACCTTCTGGAAGAACAGTTGCAACTGTCGGGGGAAGTCAAATACCTGGGGGTACTAGACGGATTTTTATTAATTTTAACTCTGTGTACAAGAGTGAGTAAATGGTATCGGAAAATCCCAGCAACGTTTAACCAGCCCATGCTATCAATGCTCCTTGAAGAAATTATTTTGGACATTTTGTAGTAATATTGCTGTGGTTTGACCTAAATATGGAAAACAAAGGGTAACACAATATAGTATTTTTGATATAACTAAGCTTTCTCTTAACGTTTTTTTAATAGATTAAGGCTTAGGCCGCACTACGGTTTTTTCCCGCAAGCGGTAAACCACCAAAACACAAAAGCGTCCGAGACACACACACTATGGTTAAAAATCGCGAAACTGGACACAATTTTCACAGTTTTAAGATGGATTTCAAGAGAGCTGTATGTGTTGTTGCTCTATGGAGCAGAAAAAGAAAACGTTATCAAAAATTTCGCAAATAATTGGGTCCATTCACTGACTAGCCGAAGATTAAAGAGCGGTCTCTTTCATAAAAGTATCAAGATCTAAGAAAACATCCTGAGAAATTTTTCCACCACTATCGGAACGGAAAGTTCTGTGCCCTAAGCACAATGGCTTTTATATCAACGACATTCCATCCTAACACTTTTGACACTGTGTTGCTAGATATATGATCACTGGAGAAAGGTAAATACGCAGAAAATTCTTGTCCTCCTGTTCTTCAACTTTCAGTAGTCGGTAACCCCCCGTCCCCGTTTTTCTATCGTCACACGATCACAAGAACATTCGCTCCCAGAAGTCCACTCTCCTCAAAATATACTAAGTGACATATAAATCCGAACACCCAGTTCAAATGGTTTTATTTTAATAAAATTTTGTATAAGTATTTAATGAAGCATAATAAGTAAATGATACAAATTTCAAAATGATTGCACTGCTTTAAAGCCCTTTGACCTTTAATAATGTGTGAATGCACCCTGATGTGCTACGCATTCTCCAACGCGCCTAGGCATGCTTCTGATCAGATGGTCAATGTCCTCCTGTGGTATCTCATTCCAGGCAACCACCAACTCCTCTCGAAGTGCTTCTAGAGTCTGAGGAGGACGTTGCAAATTGAGCAATCTCCTACTCATCATATCCCGCACGTGCTCAAATGGGGATAAGTCGGGAGATCTTGGTGGCCATGGTAACAATGGGACATCATTATGTTGAAAGAAGTCTATTGTGACTCTTGCAACATGTGGTCGAGCATTATCTTGTTGGAAAGTTGGATCTGCCAGGGTGTCAAGATAGGGTAAAAAGATGGGGTTCTAGAACTTCGTGGATATAACGCTGCGCGTTCATGTTACCCCTGATGAAGATTAAAGGTGACCTGGAACCATAAGCTATAGCACCCCAAACCATAACTCCAACAGTGTGATGAACATGTCTTTCAACAAAAAACTGTGGATTCCTCCTTTCACCACGTCGCCTTCTAACCCTGGCACGACCATCGTGCATGCCTAAACAAAATCGAGACTCGTCACTAAAGACAATACTGTTCCATTCCTGATCCGAGAGTGACCGTTGTCTGCACCACTCGAGGCGATTACGTCGGTGTTCTCGAGTTAAAGGGAGGACCCAGTGTGGCCGGTATGAAAACAAGCCAAAACTTCTCATTCGTCGGTAAACACTTCGCATGCAAACCATTCATTTGCAATGGACCTGGTAGTGGAGAAACGGTCCCTTAAGGCCAATAATCTTAGGCGGCGATCTTCCCGGTCTGTTGTTCTACGGCGGCGTCCAGTGCCCCTTGCCCTTTGCGTACGGCCTTCTCGAAGCCATGCCTGACAATACCTAACCACAATATCTACACTTCTTTGCACTCTAACTGCAATTGCCCGAAAAGAAAGTCCAGCTTCCCGAAGTCCCACTATACGGCCCCTATCAAACTCACTAAGTTGACGAAATCGTACAGGTCTCTGTACTCTAGGCATCGTAACCGATCGTAAAGGATGTCAAGAACCAAAGTCCGCCAATGTTGATTCTTTACTGCGGCTGAAATATTCATTTTTTAGAGCGTTAGTGAATTAAAAAAAGGCAGTATAAAAACCAACTGATAAGGCTGAAATTTTTTTCACTTGTTATTTACAGTAAGATGAATACATTCACCAACTTTTATTAAAATAAAACCATTTAAACTGGGTGTTCGGATTTATATGTCACTTAGTATATCTTTGGTTTGCATTGAACTCCGGACAGAGAATGACGCTCATCAATAGTTTGTTCAGGCCTTTCTATGAACTCTTACGCCTTATATGAGAGGGAGATCATACAGCTTGTTACAGTACGAGTACTTCTGTGGTTAATTAACCAAGTATGACATTGAAAAAAGAAAAAAGACAGCCTCCAGAGCAAGGAAGTCCATCTAAGACATAGTTTCTTTCACCAGAAGGAAGAAATCAGAGGGGTTAGGACCTCTATACCTTCGGGAAAAACAGTTGCAACTGTCGGAGAAGTCAAATACCTGGGAGTAATACTAGACATTAAACTAACCTGGAACCCGCAGATCAAACGCTCTCATGTCAAAACATGGGGATTAAGCCCTTCCATGATGCAGAGGACGTACATAATATTGGTAATGCTCATGATGACATGCATATCTAGTTCTTATATACAGGTATAAGCCGTAATCGTAAAATTTCTAGACATTTGACTGACGTGCTTACGGCAAAGTTCAACTTTATGAATTGTCGCTTGCGCCACACTGATTAACTGTTGCGCAGGGATGTACCGGAATACCGCCTTTACTTTATGCTCTAGTTCTTCGCGAGTAGCCCAAAGAAAAAAAATCTAGCGTAGTAAGATTTGGTGATCTAAAATATAACAAATAAATCAGACGTTCTAGAAAAATATGACAACTACTTCTTTGTTAATTTTGGGGCGCTGTATCCAAAAATGACAATGAAATAAAAAAATTAGTTGCGGTTTAGAAAAAATTTTTAAGGATATATTAAAAAAAGTAACAAGATTCATATACTTATAAGAATCACTATATGCGCTGTCTTTTTGCTGTTCTTTTATGGATCGTTTCTGGAGCATCTGTACCAAGAGTCCAACAGTAGTCTGCAAGCATGGAAGGATTCCACTTTCCCTGGTACCTTTTTTCCATTGTTGAAATATCCCGATGAAAACGTTCGCCGTGCTCATCACTTACGGCTCCGCAATTGTCAGGAAAAAAGTCCAG